CTCGCCTATTACCGTAAGAACGCGAGTGTTACGTTACCGCCACGTACCGCTGGGGAGGTAGGGGTCAACATGTCACACTATAAATGGGTGTCAAAGACTTGGGCACTTTGTGTTGGCCAAATGTAAAATTAGAAACAATTCTGCCACAATCAATGAAATAGAAAATTGGACTGAACTGAGGGACTGGAAAGAGAATCTACTAGAGCAGTGACATAACTGCCTCATTAACTGTATTGTCTGAAGACCCTAAACTGGAAACGTTTAACCTTTATCAGACGGCCATTTAAATTCCGGTAGTGGCACCAGGATGGATTTAATTTAAATGCCCGTCATTGTAGAGTGATTGTAATCACGATACTCAAAATGCTGTTATTTCTGCAATTTTTGTGATGAACGAAATAAATGCTACTGTTATCTAGAAAGTATATAGAATCAGATACTGTAATTTACTGATTTTAGAATCTGTAAAAATTGTTACATTGATTAAAAAAAAATCCCCAATTTTGAGCATCTGTCCACAAAAATGCATAAAGTTTCTGCACAGTATGTTTCTGCAGTATAAATGTATGGTGCTGACGCGCACACTTGTGTGTAATCTGGTAATAGGAGAGGATGTTTACGTACTCACATTGTATGCTATCTGTATAACCGAGTGTGGGCAATTTCTTAACCTACATTGACCATATGAAACTCTGTTTATTCATGTATGTCGCACTATCCAGACGGAGGCAGTTCTTGGAATATCACCTCATTCCACTTGCGTCCACATCCCTTCAGAATAAACTGCAAGGCATTCTGAATAGTGTGATTTATGAGCGGCTTCTCTATTTCGAATTTTTCAATGCGAGTAGGGGCCATGGTGCATAGTTGAAATTGCGATGTTTTATAAGTGTTATGAATAGAGGAGACCATTCGCCATCACTGGCCTACTTTCTCCTAATACAAGACTAATGTTGCGTGTGCGTGCTTCGCGTGGAAAACAGAGTTAATTACGGACAAAGTGCATGAATTGAAACGTCAGACTCTGCATTCAGTGACATGCAACATTCAGTTAGATGATGCAGGAGGGAAGACAGTCTACTTGTAAAGCTGGTATCCAAAAATAGTGTAAGTAGAACAAGAATTTCTATTTTAAAATACGATTTTGAAACACTGTGCACACGTGGATTGCGGGTACCCATATGGTGACGCACGGCCACTCGGCTGTACTTTAAATGACTCCGTATGGTGACATTAGTCTAATAAAGGTTAGTATGTATTGTATTTAAAATCGATATTCTTCCAAGTTTCTGTGGATTTGGCAGTGGTGCATATGCAGTGAGCTCAGTGCTGTCACCACATAAGCCTATTGTACGGAGGAGTTTCTTGCATCTGTTCTTGGTAATGTTGACAACATAGCAGCTATGTTGGTGAGAGGCAGAGTTGTGGGGAAGATCTTTCTTGACATTAGTGATCAGATTACAGCTCAAGGAATTTGTATGTATAAAGGAACTTGTATTACATTGCAGTTAACACTGTCTGTAAATGAAGCAAGCACAATGTGATTCTCCTGACAGTAAATATAAAGTTTTGTACAGGCAAGACAAACCTTGTTTTCAGTGTGTGTTTGGTTTTTCTTTAGTTTGTATCTGCTGAAGAATGTGTGAAAATAGATTTCTCTGAGCATCAGTATTTGACACCTGAGAAATGTTGTGTGGGTGTGTGTACCGTGTCATTTTCTAAAATTACTGGGATTTGGGGGCACTCTGTAGCGTAGGTGATTAAGGCACTAGCTACAAGCTGGAATGTTGTGGGATTGAATTATGATGAGGTCATTGGATTTTTTGATTGACCTGATCCTTTCAGTTGCTTTGGGGTCAACTCAGCCTCTAACAGAAATGAGTACCAGGAATTTTCCTGGGGTGTAAAGGGCAGGTGCTGCATAAGGCAGACAACCTTCCACCATCTTTGAGCCAACTGTCTATAAGATATGAGAGCCTTGACTTCTCACACCTGTTTGCCGTCATTGCTTGTTACAGGGACAGCTTTACCTTTGCCAGGGTTTTTGTACTTCGTCCATCTTCTGAGATTTTAAAAACTAGAAAACGATGTTTCAGAAACTGGATCTCTTTGCACTCTGGTGTGGGGGGACACTTCTTTGGGTCCCTTAGAAAGAGCAAACCCCAGTTTCTGGATCCCTCCACTCTCGTTTGAGGAAGGGAGCAGATCCAGCTTTCAAAATGTATTCTCAAGTTTGTTAGAATACCAGATGGTGGACAAAGAAAACAGTATGTAAGTTTTGAGGTTTTCACGGCGATGACACGGTGCCTAAACCCAGAAGACAACTAACTTTCTTCAAAGAAAACAGTAATTTGAAGTGTCATATGTAATCGCCAGAATCCTTTAGAATCTACCAGTGATTTAGGTGAGCTCATCCTAAGGGACCCAACAGAGTAGCTGTTTCCCCTCACATGAGGAAGGAAACAGATCCAGTAGTTCATGGAACCAAGTGACTTTTA